TCACATTCTTCATATAACCATGTTTCGAGAGTAAATAAAAGGGCTTAATGCCCTTTGTACTAGAAAATACAGCTCTTAACAATGCAAAGCTATCAGCAGAGGCGGTAAAAGTACAGACATTATTTATTTAACGTACAGATACTAGTGTTGAAAAATAGCGTCAAAGGCAGAACTTGAGATAATTATTCATGCTTTTATCTCTTCTCGTTTGGATTATTGTAACGGTCTTTTCACGTGTCTCAACAAATCAGCTCTGGATCGCCTTCAGTCTGTACAGAATGCAGCAGCAAGACTTTTAACTGGTACAAACAAGAGGTCACACATTACTCAAGTTTTGGCTTCTCTTCATTGGTTGCCTGTAAATTTTAGGGTTCATGTTAACATTTTAGTTGTAACTTTTAGAGCTCTGCGTGGTGAAGCTCCCCAGTATATCTCTGACCTGCTGAAACCTCATGCTTCATCCCGAGCACTTAGGTCTTCAGGTCAGAGGCTACTGGTGGTCCCATGTACTAGGTTTAAAACACGTGGGGATCGGGCTTTTCAGGCACTGGCACCGAGGCTGTGGAACTCTCTGCCGTTGTCTTTACGCTGTCTAGACTCTACTGACTCCTTTAAAAAGCTTATTTTCCACCCTGATTTATGAATAAATTCTTTACAAATCCTACCATGTGAATTCATGGATTTTTTTTTTCACATTCTGTCTCTCACAGTTGAAGTGTACCTCTGGTGCAAATTACTGACCTCTGTCATCATTTTAGGTGGGGGAACTTGCACAATCGGTGGCTGACTAAATACTTTTTGCCCCACTGTAACTAACATGTGAAAGGGTTTGGTGCGCCATTGAAGTTGATTTTTCGCCCTCTGGTGGTCAGAAGATAAACTGTGACTGTCTGTGTCCATGTCTGTGAATGTTCTCAGTCATCCAGGTCATTGTAGGTCATCCAGGTCAATGTTCACATTTTGGACAAAGAGGACAGATGGTTTGAAAGAGGAGTGAAAGAAGCCATCTATGTCCACTGTGAGCGACCATCTTTGAACAAAGGCGGGGCTTTACGACACCAACTCTCTGCCATCTATAATCCAGTTTTGAGATCCCTTCCCAGACGCCTTAACGCCCACTCACATCCTGGGCCATCTGACCTCAGGAATTCGCATGATAAGGTGGGGCCAGGTTTTACAATAAACCCACCCGAAACTCTGGCTGATTGGAGCCCACACCCAGTTTCACACCTTGGCTCAGGTGATTAGAGGATCATCAGGGGGTCCTTTTGTCCCTCTGTGGGGGGATACTCCCACTAGGTTTATATCTGGGACTCTCCACCATTTGACCTTAGAACTGAAGAAGCTTCTCGGATGAGAGGTGAAACGTCTTCAAGCAACTTAAAGAAGTCCAGACGCTTTTCTTTGCAAGCTCCTTTGACTACGATGACCTGGATGACTGAGAACCTTCACAGTTCTTTACAACAATGACACAGCTTCTAAATATTCTACATCAAAACAAATCTGTCACCAAATCCACCAGATTCGCTAGCAGGTGTCAAGCAAGACTGAATGGATTTAAGTGCAGATCCAGCCTGAAAAACAAGAGTTCACAGTTTATTCGCACAAATCACCAAAGTGCAACTGTATATACAAGTGACGAGCAGGATCCAGGGATCCGGGGGGAGGAGAGGAATTTCTTTTATTTATGTATCATTCACATTATTTTATTGTATAATGCCTTGGTGCCACTGGATTTTAACATGTCTCACACTCATACAGTAAGACAAATGGTGGGGGTCTAGTAAGGAAGTTGGGGGAAGCCGACAGCTCCACAGGAAGTCTTTTGTCTCTTCGAGGACTCTGGGAGGTAGCAAGGGAGTGTGAAACAGCTGTGTACTGCCTTTTGTTCCTGTGAAAGGTATTTAACTGAGAGCCATGCTAGGCTCAGAGAGACTCTGCTGACCGTCTGCCCCGCGATCATGCAGGCTCTCCAGAAATTTGGTTTGTCTGTTCTTTGTTTTTGATTAAAGAATGTTTGCTACCGCTCACCGCTCGTCTGCAGGCTTTATTTAATGGAAAACTTCCACAACAGGGCGGTTAGTCCACATACTCAAATCTTCAGTGCGAGCTCGTCTACTCTCTTCTCCGTTCAGAAGCACTCCACGACACGCTCCTCAGTCTGCCATAAATCCTCTTCTGCCACTCACGCTTTTCACTGTCTTGCTCCAGTCCACACAGCTGCACACTGCGATCAGTGTTCCCTCTAAGCTGCGCACGTGTGCAATTGTGCACTACTGGCACGGTCTCTGCGCAGAGAAAATCTGTGTTGCGCACAAAAAAAAATCCAAGCTGAATTGAAATTAAAATTAAAACTTTAACAATTCTGTTTGGCAGTGTTAGTCAGTGACTGGCTGCTCCAGTATGGGATTAGAACGATGCCACCTTATCCCACAGTCCAGCCAATGATGCGATTCACATTCGTATATACGCAGCTAATCAACGTGGTTGACAGGCTATGACAGCGTCCTTATGTGCCCACACCGGTGTTTTAGCTAGCAAAGCGGCTGATGTGGAGTGAAGCCACATTAATCACAACATGTACAACCATTGGAGATGTGAGCAGGACAGACAAACAATTGATGGAAAAAGTGTGGACTTTATACCAGTTTTTAAATTGTGTTGATCGGCCACGTAAAACCAGAGTTATGATAAAAATATATGCAATGCTTGGTTTTCTTTCTGAATACTGTCGTTGTTTATATTTACTGCAGGAAGAAACGGTTTAAGGAAAACGCTCGAAAGCCTGTGAGCAAAGACAAAACCAAAACACACCCACCCATTCCTATTAGTCGAAAAATGTACCATGTGGACCAATCAAAAAATGATATGGCAACATGGCATTTATTTTTTAGGAAGGGGGAAGTTTTAGGAGTGACGGCGGTGTTTTGAGATGTGAGAGATTTGAGACGTTTAGCACAAATCTTGTGTAGTTAGTGTGTAGTGTAGTCAATAGTGTTGTGTGTGTCAGAACAATGAGGCGACGGCTGAGTGTTACAGGTGTTACAGCAGTGACACATCTGCTGCTGTCAGGCCTGCAGGTATTAGGCTGATGTTCTCCTTCATCTCATAGTGGACAGAAATTGTTTTTTGGAGCGGCACAAATAATTTGTGTGGCATCAAATTTGATGCAGAACAGCTGATTGTTCTGTAAATAGTTTGAAATGTTTATTTAAGAAAACGCCTTGTGGCTCCATTTAAAAAAAAATAGCTGCAAAAAACTTTGTTGTTTGCATAACTCAGTTACTTTTTTGAAGAAGTAACTATATAATTAATTGCCCAACATTGGTTATTATATACTGTATTTTGCAGACAGAGAGTTACAGACTCTCTCTGGGACCACAGACTCAGACTCATAATACAAGTCACAAGAGCTTTATTAAAAATAAAAAGAAAGTTGTGTTTTCAAAATTGGAAGTTCAAGTTATTTTACTTCCAATAGTGTTGACATACTACACAAGGTCATCAACAAGATTTTAAATTTTCATTGTAAGTGGGCCAAAGCAGTTAATTAAAAGTAGTCTAACATAAATGTAAATGCTGTAATTTGATTATTTTAATAAACATGTAACTTGGATGGATTCGATGCTGGCGTGACCACAGTGCACACGTCTAATGTTGCTCACAGTGGTCCAAGGGACGCTCAGGGAGTTTGTGCGTTCGCTCAGACATATGAAATATTAGAGGGAACATTGACTGGGATCCAGGGAAAAACAGACTAACAGGTCCAGGAAGCAAGAAGTAATTCTACATCCAGAAATTACAAACATGAGATTGAGACTAGCCGGGGCTTTACGAACACAGGGCATTCACCGTTCCAGCGACGAGCTGCTCTGAGCCACCACGTCAAATAGTAGCCACAAATCATAGGAACAAATCAGTGGCAGGTGGGTGGGCCAAAAGCGAGAGCCCAGTAATGAGCTCTGCCCAGGCAGGTAGAAGGCAGCGATGTTAAAAAGAGAGAGAGACACACACACACAAAAACAAAACTACGGCCCGACATTAGCCAGCTGGAGAGACACGGGGACCATGACACCATTACCCTTTGTGATAGTTTTCATGTTTCATATGAACTAAGCAAATACACAACATATGCAGTGCTATACAGAAATATTTACATACTTATAACAAGACCAATTTCACATGTTTAATGCACTCTTTGCCATTTATTAGATTAGTCACATGCATTATGATATCACAATACAAAACATATCATGGTTATAACTCTATTAAAAACTACTGATCCAGTATTCTCAGCTTATATATCTGAAACATTTTTTAAATTGATTGAAACAATAAGAGCATGTAGAAAGCTTGGTGTCGTAGAATTTTGTAAATAAAGTCTGCAAGACGGAAAGAGCTGTGGTCAAACAATTTATCACTGCGTGCAAGAGAACACGCACACATCAAAGTATAACAGGTTCATAGTAATGAGCATTCCAACCTCGGGGCGTCGCAGTGCCCCTTTTATAACATCACACAAACTCTATGTGTCTTTTCAGTTACAACAGTCTTTTCTCCAACCCAGGCTGTTGGTGAACGCAAGAATGTGTGGGTTGCATGCATGCAAAGGTTATACAAAAATCATACAGTGAAGTTCTAACAACGTAAATCTAAATGTGAGGGTTAACTAGAATTTTCCCATTACATTGGAAAATTCCTATTGAAAAGAGAAATCAAATATTTCAATTCATTTTATTGAGCTCAGACTTGTTGAAAATGCAGAGGAGCTGGTTATGAACTGAGCTTCAGAGAAACACAACATACTGATATTCACTGTGAAGCTTCCATCTTTAAAGGACAGAAGAGGATGCAGTTTACAACGAATCATTTAGAACAGTTTAAAACATCAACTGATTGAATCCATGAATCTGAAAACGAGTGAAAGAGACAAACATGTACAGACTGAACTATCTGCTCAACTGTCAGAGCGTTTCTCTAACTGAAGACACTCTTTACACTCAACTCAGCACAGACTCACTGAGGAACCAGGAGACCGGAGTCTAAATCCGGGATAAAGAGTTTCAGTGAATGTGGTGTTGAAGGTGTGGAGGTGGATCAGAGAGTCAGAGGAGACTCTGTAGAAGGACAGAGTGCCAGCAGGACAGTCCACATACACTGCTGCTCTGTTAGAGACAGAGGAGGAGGTGGAGGAGGAGGAGATGGATGTTTGTCTGTTATTGTGCCAGACAGAACGAGGACCATCATCATCAGAGCAGCTGAGACTCCAGGACTGATTGTTGTATCCAAACAAGCAGTCTTCACTGTCTCCTTTCCTTCTTATTCTTCTGTAACTCACTGATATATAAACGTCTCCTCTCCACTCGACCTCCCAGTAACAGCGACCAGTCAGACCATTTCTACACAGCAGCTGGTAATGAACATCAAATCTGTCTGGATGATCAGGATATGACTGAACCTCCTTCACACGTGTCACCTTCTTGTTGTTGTCATCAGACAGTTTGATGTTTGTGTGTACTGTGTTTGTGTCGATTGTGAGTTGACAGGAATCTGATGAGAGAACAAACACAATCCAGCTGCAGTTATTGATCCATCATCTGTTCATTGATTGATACTTTGATGATGACGCCTGACATCAGAGATGTGAATGAGTGATGTGACAGTTTGAAAATGGTTGAATGTGTGCTGCTTTGTTTTCATGAATCCCATTAAAAACACACTTACACTTCCTCAGACCTGGTGTCAACCATCGGACTCCAGCAGGCTCCACCCTGAAAGGAGGAGGGGGGTCAGACCAGCACAGTCTCTTTCAGCATGCACACATGGACATTACATGGCTCTCATACACATACTGTTAGACACTGATAACAGACCAACAGATTTTCACAAATTCACTTCAATCCACATGTGGATCAAACTGCTGATGATTTGGACTGATCCTGGATCTGTCAGTACACCCTGTATTGAATTAAATTCAAACTGTGACCTTCATTATCTTTATATTTCTCTTCTCTTTATGCTTCTTTGTAGTGTGTAGTGTGTAGGGCTACATGCTTTCAGTCAGTAGCCCTACCACTGTTCCTTCACAAATCCAAAGTTTTTAATTCTCAAACCAAATCCTTAATCTGAGAATAATTACCATCAGCAATAACATCCAGTAACAATTCAAAAAGCCACCATTCCCGACATATACACATAATCCAATCAGCTCATCTCTCACCAGCCAAACTCTCTCATCTGCACCTGTGCTATGCTCCCACCTGTCTTTGTGTTTGCAGGTAGCTCCCAGTGTATATACTCTCCTCTTTTCCTGCGCCTGCTTTGAATTTCTGTTTGATGGACTTTGTGTTTCATCATTTTACAGTTTTGCATTTCGAACAATGAAAGCTCCTTTTTATCACTTCCTTCCTGCCTCTGTATCTTCCACCTGGGTCGTTTCTAACTATATTTCTTTATTGCATTGTTTTCAGTTCTATGATTTTGCATATTGGCTTTTCAAAACAAATTTCGACTTTTGTCTATGAGGAGCACTAGAAACACATACATGCATTTCTGCACTGCTGCTTACCTTTAAATATATAGAGAGCATGCCATAGTTGTCAGCTTCTATCACAGCTGTCAATATAAAAGTTTATCTAAATAAATGTGGGCGATCGTAGCTCAAGAGTTGGCAATTTGAGCCCCGGCTCCGACAGTCTCGGTCGTTATGTCCTTGGGCAAGACACTTCACCCGTTGCCTACTGGTGGTGGTCAGAGGGCCCGGTGATGCCAGTGTCCGGCAGCCTCGCCTCTGTCAGTGCGCCCCAGGGTGGCTGTGACTACAATGTAGCTTGCCATCACCAGTGTGTGAATAGGTGGATGACTGAATGTGTAAAGCGCTTTCGGGGTCCTTAGGGTCCAGAGGTTCAGTCAATGAGCTTGTCAATAGCTTTAATGCTAACATGTTAAATGTAATGGACACTATTGCTCCCATTAAGGTGAAGGTTATCTCTGGAAGAAAAAAGTCTCCATGGAGAAACTCCACACTGGTGAAAAATGAAAAAAGAGAGTGTAGGAAAGCTGAGCGCAGATGGAGAAAAACAAACCTCCAGGTTCACTATGACATCTATAAAGAGAAACTTCACAATTATAATTTACTGTTATTGTTAGGCTTTGAATGAGGTGAGTAAGTGACGGAAGTGACGGACAAGGTAAGCGACTCATGTTGTAACTGACGTCAGACGCTGGAGATTTTGGCGGAAAATTAAAGCAAATGGTAGTTTAGATTTGAACAAATTCATTTAAGCTTCAGCATTACCAAATACACTTATCAATTGTCTTATAACTAACACTATTTGTCTAAATAATCTCCAACACCCTGGAGAACAACGAGGAGAGTTTAGAGACTCTCCAAGATTACATCGATCAGTGCTTTCAGGATCTCGTGATGAAGAAGACCCCGTGTGCAGCTTCCCCGGCCAAAGCTGAGACGCCGTCGTC